ATATAACATGACACAATTCGTGTGAATAAAAAAGCTATATATGCATATATCGAAAAATATATGTACAAAAGAGAAAATCAGAGGAATAGCAATGAATGTCAAAGATACAGAAGAAAGAAAAGACGACTACATTGATAGCGTAAAGACACCCATTTTCTTAACGCATATAAAAATGAAATTTATTTATAGAAACTTCTGAAAACATGTAACATACTCTGTGTATAAATATGTGTTCTAAAAAGCTTCTATCTTTCCCAAGTGTAACGAAAACCACACTCTTTATTTCAAACTCTGCTGCTCAAAATGAGATGTTTTTTGTTCATTGCGACGAAACGAACAAACCCACAAAGTCAATGCATATATATAGACTGATTTTTATAAAACTGCGATAGTACAGCTTTTCCACTCTCTCTACGCTAATTACCATTTGTCTAAAGATTTCTCAGTTTATAAGTCGAAACACATATACAAAACATTATTACACATCCAGAGAAAGACGCAGACAAAATACTTTGATAGTAGACACTATCCAGGATAATTTTATGTAAATATATATTAATTATTAGCATATGTATGCAGTATATTGACAACCAGAATGCAACATGTTCAGGTGTAGCATGTGCTTCGGCATAATGATGATGATGGTTGCGGTTGCGGACCAATAAGCGTATCTTGCATATGAATAGTAAGATGTAAAAGATATACTGAAAGTAACATGTATCGACAATGCAAAGCGCCTTAAAAATAAAGATTTATTATCTTATTATTTATTACTTGCAAACACGTTTTTATTTCTTTGACGCGCGATATGCCTCATATGCGTGGAAACGGCGACCCTGGCTGGAAGATGTAGAAGGTTGGTCAGTAAGAAAATCTCTTGTTTGGTTAACAGTAGCGGCAGCTCGGATACGCAATCGTTTTGCGAATTTGAGGACTGTTCCCGATGTAATGTTGTATTCTCGGATCGAACAGTCAACTTCGTCAATACGGACGTCATGAGCCACAAGTGTATGATGGCCCCAGAATTGCTTCCATGAGATACGAGGTTTTGGGAAACAAGGGTTGTCTGGGCAGGTTGACCGAAGATAGTAATCCTCTGTAGCTAACTCAACGGCCCGACGAAGTTCTAGGATACTAGCGTCAGGCGAAACGACAACATCCAGCCTGCCATCAAGGATAACAAGACCTTTACAATATTTGAAAATGTACTATACAAAACAATTATGAATAATTTTGTCATTGTTTGGTTGACTATAATCGACCTGTACTGTGCAGCTGCATAGTTCTAACCGTACGATGTTAAATTCTATAAGTTATATTCCATTGGATAAAGCATCCAGAAGGATATTGTGTAATCGTAATATTTCTTGTAAACGTCGAGTACGACGCAACATACGTATCAGTTCGTTCCTTCTAAACCGCTATACCTTTTGCCATCATCCCTCACGATAAATATTCGAATCTTTTGTCCGGTCTCTGCATCGATCAGTTGCTGAATACGTTCCAATGACGACGTTTCCAGACCCGAAAGTAGGTTATCACTTTTTACCAAATTAAACATTTTTTTATCAAGTTGTTTCAGTTCTGCCATAATTTTGTCCCGATTCATGATTTCTGATTGCTACACAGTTAGCACACTTCATACACAGGGACGAAATAGGAATGGGACAAAGACTGTTAAAAACGAGGCTTACGTCTTAAAACGTTAGCTAAGTTACTACTGTGTACGCTTTCAAAGCACCCTTTCAAGTTTTTTTTCGCGTTTTATCTCATCATACTGTTCTTACTACTAAGAAACCGTATAGATGCCATAAATATATCATTTTTGTTATGAAAAACTAAACACGAAAAACACCGCCGCCATGCGAGGATGAATCGGGTCACACTGTTAAGTTACGTATCACCAACATTCTTATTCTTAACAGCTGATCGACTCTGTTAGAACTGCCAGCTGACACACGCATGCCTTGTTTACAAACGGCGCGGTTCATTAGAGCGGAAGCTTTATTCGACATGAGTAGCCGGTACGGGTGGCGCCCTCTGTGGCAGTTGAATGAGGTAATGAAGATTGAGACAGAATATTGGAAATGATGCACTTTGCTTTTACCCATTAATAATGATCCCATATAGATTAATTGATGAGCTTAATTAGCGAAGAATGATTGTTTTTATTTTCTTTGTTTAATTGTGCAGTATGGGTTATGGCAGAGCAACAAACTTGACTGCGTGGCTATGTGAGCTGGAAATCAGTACGAATACTGAGTGCTTATGTACAACGTATGTATTTTTAACAAAAAAATATATCAATACAAAAAAAATAAAGCGTATTCGAAGATAGACAGTTAACACTGCAGCATCGATGTCGAATATACTGAACTACTACATAGAAATGAATACAAAATAAACCTAAAAACCATCTACTAACCAAGCTTATATTTATGTCACTGGACACATTCGCCAGAACGAATCTGTTCTGTTGTTAGTTGAATTCGAGGGTGAAATAAAACTGGCAGACTACACGATGAGACGAGAAGTAGATAAATGCTTTGAGATCCCTGTTCTGAGTTGGGATACTCCACATTATCCACTTCTTTTTCTTTGTTTTCTTTAACTAACTGGTGCTCAAGTCTTCTCGAGGACGGCCTCCTCGTGTCAGTCACCTGCGCTTCTTGCGCGAAACGTACGCCGGTCTGCGTCGCTTTCTCGCCAACAGTATACTTGTGTGTTTAGCAGCTTGCGTTCGTTGAATTCTCTCAAGCTATCTGTGTCCTGATCTATCTTTTTCGCCAGTTGACCAGCGATTCACAAATGTATATCATGTGCAAGAGTTCGTAAACTTCGCTAGATCATATCGAGCAGACTGGGCCGTTCCTCTCCTACACTGGCAACTTCAGAGGTGAACAGACGCTTCGAGACTCGTTCTCCTTTATTTCTCCCTACATCTCATCCTATTGAACACTAGTATTCGGACTACAGACCCCAAGGGGCAAGCTTGATCTTATGCAGGCGCTGGCCCTTCGTTTCTAAGGAGGCCACGGAGAGAGTTACGTTCTTTCGCTAGTTTGAAGCTTACTGAGCACGAGCCAGTCGTGCGGGCTGAGATTGGAACCATCTTAACCAAAGTTGAAGACGCGCATCAAAAAAGCAGTAGCAGCAGGCTGACTGAAGAAGATTTCGCGGTAAAGAGGCTCATTTATCACGGCAGAGTCGGATCCGCCCGCTGAGTCCGCGACAGTCTCGAGCACTTCGAAGGAAGACCTGGCAATCGTTCTTGAAGACTCAAGAGCCAGTCCTGATCGCAAAAAGAATGGACGTCTATAACAACAGCAGCAACTATAACTCGTGTGCTAGCTTCTACTATTGCTCGCCCTTGGAGTAATCGATAACCTGATGCTTTGGCCATGCAGCCTTTGACGCTAGCCGCTTGAGAATGGAGAAGTGGCAAATTTTGCAAATTACTGCTATAAGAATAACAAAAAAGCTGCAAATTTATGATCTACACTAGACGCATACATAAACCGCATAGACTCTTAGCATGTACGGGTGCGATTCGATGCAATCCCCATCGAAAACACGAAGTAAATGGACGTTTTTATGATTTAATTCAATAATTGTTGTAGAACCGTTTACTTGAACTGATGTTAGGACGATGCTTGTAGGCTGCCGCTCAGGGTTCGACTTTGAACAGTACTATTACTATTATACTATATGCAACGAGGATTTCGTGGCTGGAGCTCAGCGTACGGCGACATATTCTTATTTCCAGTTCCAACTTCGCAGTTGGGCCTGACGGTATGGCTGAGAAAACTGACTAGGTCCTGCCGACCCTGTCAAGGCAAGACGACCACTTTTATGAAATTATGTTCGACAGTCATTTCAACATGCGTTTTGCGGTGCGTTGCCCGAAACGCCGACCTCAGGTTAAGTGACGAAAGTGGGCCGTGGCAAACATTACTTTCGTTGCTAGAACTCGTGCTGCGCCAAAGGCCAACCAACATGAAATATTGAACGAGAAAATGAAAAAATAGATTAGTTTTAGGGTTATAAAGGTAGAGTGAAATGTGTACGACTAAGCGTTGCAGCTCTTGGAAAAGAATACTAACTAGCCTAAACACAGTGTTACACTGAAATTACACCTAGCATGTTCTGGTCGCTCTATATACGATGTCCCGGTAGCCTTTGCAAAGAGCCAGATTTGAAAAATAAACATTGAATTTTCAAATATATATCGCTATGTCAGTGAAATTATGATTAACGGAAACAGTAACTATGTAATTAAAGGAGTCATGGAAACACAATATTATAGAAAAAAAAATATATCGAATTCTATGAGTATATGTAATGTCAAAGTGAGATTTAGCAACTGCACTGTGTTAGTTCCTCGCTGATCCTTATTTTCAATTATTTTAGTCGCGGAAATATAATTAACCACACCATACGATTTTTTTTTCGAAAAGTAACATTCAGTTAAATCATTTTTAACCCTGCTGCGTAGCACCTACGATTAAAAGGTCCCTGTATTTCACTAACAGTTAAACGGTCCTAGATAACCGTATGAGGATTGCTTCACCAGTCTTCATTTCGTCAGCTTTCGTACCGTGTGATTTCTTTCTTAGTTGACTTACTTTCAATCTATTCAGGCGCACTAGTGGCTAAAAATAGTTGCTTTCATTGTCTCTATAAGGCGAATACTCGTCCAAACGAGATAGACCTAATTGAGAGTGGGATTCTTCACGAAGGTTAGTACTAAGGGCGAGAAAATTACGTAACGGAAATGGGCAAATATATTCGCATTCCTGTCAAGCGGTTCCTTGCAGCCGACCTGCTGCTAACGTTGAGGTGACTGTTTCGTTACTTCGACGCATTGGTAAAAACAATGAGTTAGCCTTCAATAAGAGTCGCTTATTTACCTCATTCCGTTTCTTTTTCTATTCGGTTTGAAGCATCTTGCCGATTCGGGATCGTTAGTAGAATTATGGCAATGACAGTTACAGCATAAGGCATTTTACGCATTAGAAAGAAGCATGCAATTAATCCTTCTTCTCTTTTTAATAACCCCAGACTTGTCCTTAAAATAAAATACAATCAAGAAAAACATATCGGGGTACGACTGTTGTGATAAAATTCTGATTGTCCTTAATGTTATGTTCGCTAGAGATAGCTTTTTTCGATTATATTACGCAATGTACATTTAAAGATTTCTCAAGTTTAAACATTTAATTAAATTTAAGAGGTTCAGCATTGTAGCCAGTTTAACGGATGCGCGGGAGAGCAGTAAAGATGGGTGGTTTGGGTCGCATGAACTTACCTAAAGTCAGTCACCCAGCCGGTGCTCATATATTATTTATTGAATAATCTATAACTTATATATCGAGCGTATAAGCCAGTTTGAATCAAGGGACCTCAAATCAGAAACGTGCGATAAGCTATATTCCGCATACGGTCATACTTCAATTTTTTTGCCATATTATCTAAACGGGTCCATAAAGCTTAATTACACTCTATTTATAGATATTCATACAGTGTTTTCCTAATCGCCTCAACATCTTACAGTTTAGAGGCTTGCTGATTAAGGCTATGCTCATAGCGTACCACAGTGTTAGTACTATATTTGTGACATTGTTACTATATAAATGAATCGTGTATTTCGAAGTTTAAAGTTACAAACAAAAAAGTATACGGACCGCCTTGGCTATTAAATACAATATAATAATACAGTGTTTTTAAATAAATAAAACTTAAGCAGTGCTTTCAAAAAAATAACAGTTGGAGGGGACAGCTTGCTGCTTGTTAATTTAATAGTTCGAATAGAATTTTATGCTTTCAATATCACCACAAAAAGTTCCCACCGCGTTTTGTCTCATAGGTTTGAATATGACATAATCTTATTACAACTTCCTTTATGTCTCGAGTATTACGTCCGGCATCACCGTTACGGCTGGCCTCCAGCCATCACGAAATCAGGTCTCGGATTTGAACCTAAACCAAAACGTGCCCGTAGGATTAGTAGGCTTATTACAACCCGTTGTTTTTGTTCTTGTTCGAATGTGATTAACCTAGTACCAGCATTGAGCTGGTGATTTGAGTACAGAACTACAGGTGACTGACTGGGCGTATGGCTTTCGGTGCCCCTGAACAGCCTTGCGCATGTCCACCTCAAAGAAACTCATGCACGAAGCACTTTACGGTACGGTCCATAGCGCAAGCATTAAATGGAACGAAGTGTCAGCGAGCTCCAGCAACCGCTAAGTTTAAATAAAGTTAAACATCCTAAGGCTATTATCCTTATGTTTGCAGACAGGTTGCTACGGTACTAAATCTGAACGTCTAAAGCAGAAAAAATTGTGTACAAAGTCCAGCAAGCGAGACGAGCATTATCACGAGGAGTCTTTTGAAACTGCGAGACAGTCGCCCCCTCGCACGCACAAGGCCCGAATTCATCTTTACCATACAGACTCATAATACCCGCACGATACAGGTGCTTAGAAATGTAAAGAGTACTTGCTTTACTTGTGGAACTTGATCCACATTGATGCCGCTGCACAGAAGCTCCCAACAGTTATAATTATGGGAGATTTTCTCTAGGTAAGTTTAAAGAAGATATTTGAAATAAATAAACAAACGTTTCGGTATAAAGCTATGCGGGGCTATTACCTGTCTGTGACACGATTTCATTGTCTCGGTATAATTATGATTTAATTTTTAGCCAAGCTCGATGTAAATAGAGAAGCAAGAAATATTTAGGTGCGAGGAAGCACCAGGCGTCTCATTAGGGTTATATCTTACTAGGAGAAACGATCTGACAGTCTTTAATGTTGCATGATCATTCACTAGCAGTAACCTAAATATTGGCAGGGGTTTACACTGTCTGCCGTACGAGACATCTAGCTATTTCCAATGCTGCCCAGAAATATTTACCCCGGTGAGTGTTGAAAACTGTGACGTGAGCGTTGTCAATCTCCCGTATTCTTGCAATAATTTTTCCTCAAAGGCTATGTCTATGACGCACTCACATCCAAGCAGGGACGTCCATTCTTAAAGATGCAGGTTGCCGCTGACTTTTCGCTCTATTCATAACGACATTTACGTCAAGGCTTCTGACGTAAATAACTCACATGATTGACAATTACGCAGTAATGGGCAGCTATGATGAAAATAGGCGCTTGACAAATGATATTTAGCGCTCTGATTTTTTAAATTAAATTTTACGTATGAGACAAACGCATCATGGAATATTTAATCAATCGAAGCTAGGTAATGGTATTTAATTTATAATACCGGGTCACTACAATTATTATAAACACTCGCTTTGAATCATTTTGAGTATCTATCGTGAATTATATCCTATTGAATGTAGATCTATCTTTCTTTCTTTTCGTTTACCATGTAGGTTAGCCTCCGGGTAGATCATGCAATGAGATAGCGTCTGTTGTGTGTAAGAAACTTAATGAGTTTGCGCAGCAGCCGCGCAAACCCAGTTGGACATGCGTTGCGTTGGGCACGGACCAAATAGAACACTATAATTAATACGGAAGAACTAAAATTAGCATAAATTGTGTCAATGGCTTTTGGCTTGCCTGAACACTGCAACAGATTAGTTAATCGGACTAAAGCTACTCATTAATTATAACGATGAATTATTTGTAGATGATATTATATCCTTAGGATACTAGTTATTTTTTTTAGAGTGCAATACAGATAACATTTAGACTACGGCTGTCTAAACTAAATATTTGTTTCTATCTATTGACTGTTGACAGAAATGTTGCGTACTCTAAACCAAATGAGAGAGCAGGGGGAGCGTCCGTTTTCTTGGTAATAAAATAATTTCGAGTACAAGATGAACTTTAGCGCTTGAGGGCAGTCGGCTTTTCTCAAGGAGGTATCTGTGCGACAGACGTGCACATACTTTCACGCACTCTACCCCGGCAAAGCCCATGGCAGAAGCATGTAACGCTTCGGTGTGCATAACAGCTATTGCTAGCTGCTTGTTCGACAGACCTCGTAAGCCCTGACTAGTTTCGGAGATACCGAAGATTGGTTAGTGAGTCCTTGCGAAGCTACCGGCAAGCTCAGAGGAATGCGGATCTCAGCACCCTTCTCACCTCACGCTGAGGGCAGAGGCCGCTGGTCCTGGTCGACTGCTAGAACGATCCAGTCGTTCGAAGTGTTGCGCTCCCGGACGTCATCAAGATTCGCTTCGTCTTCTGTTTTTAGCCCTGTTCCTCTCATAATCGAAGACGCCTCGCGTAGGCCGTCGACCTCTACTGAAACCACAGCTGCGCGTTCGAAGGTTCGTGAAAAATGTAGAGATGATAATAGGTTCGGCTCGACCGTCTGTTGCGTTGTCTCTAGAGATTGTGATTCTACACCGTTAAAGTGATGTGCGCAACGACTGCTAGCTTAAACGGCCCAATGCTCCGAAGTAAAGGAGCCAATTCGGCTATAATGCTTTACGCTATTTGAATGAAAACGACATTTAGATTAACAGGTTGATCGACTTTTATACACAGGGTGGTTTAAAAAGTACCAGACCATTTAGAAAATGATTCAAAAGACAAAGTAGGAGGAAAACGGTTTCAATGCTAACGGTATTGATGTGCAAAGTATGATATACGAAGTAAAGGACAGTCCCTCACCTTGGCGTACCTAGATTCAAATGAAGCCAAGCCCAGTCGGCTAATTTTCTGTATCTTTTTTTAGGTAATGCATTGTGGATGCACACCTTTCAACGTTTTACGCAGTTCGGCGTTTGCAGAACTAATGGCTTAAGTAAATCACTTTGAACAGCAAAGTGTGCGCTAGTTGTAGATTCACTGCCATAGGCCCAGTTATCATTCAGCGACGACCCGACGTTCTTCAGCTACAAAAAACAAACTGGTTCTTTTTCTTACTTTTTATCAGCAGCTGGATATTCTTCCACACTTCGTTTCTGGCTGATAAGTAAGCAGAAAAAAATGCGACAGATCGTTCGTCGGCGACTCTCATCGACTCCACTGCGTACACGGTAGATCCGTGTTTAAACTTAACACTTCCTGGAAGTACCAGGGATGCTGGCCAGTGATTGTAAGTGCTCGAACAGCGCCGGCTCGTATCGCCGAATTAGCACAGTTTCAGGAGCGGTACATGTTAGCAGTTCGTCCCAACGGCTCTGCATAGCGACGTGCACGACGCCGCCAGCGGTAGTGGGCGTCCCCTGTGACATTGCTACAGCGACTTGCGGCCACTGGTTTTGCACAATGAACAAGCGAGTATCAAATTCGTTGCTTTGGCAACGAGACCCTTCGAGGCGCTTCGGCAGCGGTTGCGAACATGTGGAATGGAGCTGGCGGTGGCAGTAGTTTCAGGCGTCATAGAACATCGATGCTACTTGTGAAGTCTCGTCGAATAATGAGTAATTTTTCGCCTTTTCAAGCGCCCCACTAGCTGGGCATCGCAGCGATTTCGATCGAGAAAGCGACCTCGGCTGTTTTGAGGGGGTATCGTCGCGATCGCAGATCGCGACGATACCCCCTCAAATAACGAAGTTAAACCCCTTTTTTGGACTTTTTTTGATGTGTGAATGATGTCATGAAGACACTACACTGTTTCGAGCTTTATTGATGTAGTGGGTTGCGTATAAAACTATTGTTGCCTATACTGATGTTACGATGATTCGAGGTGCAGCTAATTAATTTCTAAATAAATTGCCCTCAGTATGATAACTATTAGTAAACGAATGCGAGAGATTCTGTTTTCAACATATAGAAGTTGAATCTAAAAATTAGCTGAACTTTTCGTCAACCTTTTTGTATGTGCAAATTTCCATAGAAACGTTTTGCGCACCGGCTCCCCAAGCGTCTTCGACTGTACTCTGCATGGCCTGCTATATATTGCTTTGATCTCCTTTCCTATTCTAATAGCGCCGTCCAAGACAAGTCTCGCAATGTATTGTTGCTAAAATGTTAGGTTAAAACTGGTGGAGTTGATGATTAAGCGTGGAAATTGTCTCTTGGAACATGCTTGCTATGAGCGAACGGACGTGCATGAAGAACAGACAGATTGACATGTCCGCCCGATATGCAGCGGTTCCGCGCGAAGGGAAACGAGAAGGTCGTTTTTGATGTCGCGAAAGTGCGCGGCAAAGTTCGAACATGCGCACGTACATATAAAACGAACGAAACGGCCCACCATGTACGAATGTCCGTGCGTCGCGCACCACGCAACACAAACGACAGATCGAAGCGGAGGCACAGAGGCGGGCTATGCTGTACAGCTGCCGTTAAGTGTCGAGAAATCGGATGGCCTACGCACTCGGCAGCCGACCGACGCTGGTTACTGCCTCTGTTGTAGTTACTACATCGTCGGCCTGCGACGCTGCTTGATCACTACAGCGGCACAAACGGGCCCAGCAGCTACACAAAGATAGGGTCTCCATTAAAACAACGACTACTTATGCTCGTCATTGCCAATCAGCAATAGCAGCGATGGTTTTTGCTGGCGGCTGTTCGGTCCATATTAAGATCAGATTTTTCGCCGCTGGCTGGTTTGCCGAAATCGGAACGTCGCCTGATAGCTCCATACATATGTAGCGTATATTCTAAAATAAAAATAAGCAATGGCAGCTTAAAAGCGTATGCAGCCGTCAATACGCACTTGACTGCTGCACGAAGCAGGCCACTCAAACAAATTATAGCAAGTCAAATGCTAAGGTAGCCGTTAAATCATTATTGATACACTTACCGAAAACACGTAATCAGGTCATCGTAGTGATTGATATAAGTCATTTCTCGTTTGTTCCTATGCGTGCAGGAGGATACCGCAATAGTAGCCGGCAAGATTTTGCAAGTCGCTGACCTTCAAGCATCACCTCTTTTACTGGATACAATATAAAGACCACCTAGCGAAATTATTCTCAATTGTCTCTAACACGACAAAAAATGGGACCGTGTCACTTTTATATCTATAGTTAGATACAGGCGTCAACATTTGGCCTTCAGGATGTATCGCTTTATTCATCGTGATAGATGTGAGATAATCTAATTCCGTAACTAAAAACTGGGAAGAATAGAGAGAAGAACTTATGAGCTGTTGAATCGAAAAGAGATCTAATTATTATCTAACAGTTATGAGGTATGTTACGACGTTTTTTTTCACTCATCTGGATATCTTCGTGCAAGTTAATATCCGTGACAGATGGAAAATCGTAGATATGACTACCATTATAAACGATATTTTTTGAAATTGCAAACATTGAGAACCCTATTTCGCGTAATCATACGCAAACGTTACGCCGCCCTGCGAGGCCTGACTTAACAGTTGACTTAATCCAGAAATTTATCAGTCCTATTTTAAGAATTATTAAACGATAATGATATAAGTTTTAGTAAACTTCCGTCAGAGAAAACAATGGCCGAGCTGTATTACGAGTGTCTGTCGCAATTGCAATACAAGAACTGTATAATAAGTGAGAGATATACATATTTATTTATCAATAAGGTAAGCCAAAGACAATTCGTTTGTGTATTTAGCACCATATCTACAGTAGTTTATTGAGTGTAGCCGAAGCCATTGTGATAAATTATAATTAAGATACTTATATATCGTACGTACAGGACATCTGCGTGAGCATACTGAATTACCCACTACATAATTTGTGTACGTGTATGACCGTATATCTCTAGGTACGTAAACGCGTGCCACCGTAGACGGCACCCTAACCTGAAACCGATTTGTCCATAGCCGTCAAATCCTGGAACCCGTGACAACTTAGCTTAGAACAAGAGCAGTTCCGTGCTAGGCCATGGCCTTCTGTGGGCCGTTGGGCGATGGTAATATCACCCGGATATGCACGAGGTCATTCTCTGGGGTAGGTATTACAAATTTATCTGTGTGCTCTAAAATTTTCTCATCATTCAATTGCAACTGCTCACTGTTGAACATAGCTTTGAGACAGAGAAAGTTCCGTTCTGATAATTTGAAACTTATTAATTATCGTCGAGAACAAGGGTGTGACTCGGGCTATTCTAATTGCTCTCTCCCTGTATTCAGTAACGATCACGAAGTCGACTGAACTAGTGGGTCCGTTCGATGATGCTAGTAAGGGTCAGGGCTAATACTAGCCATATCGAAACAAGCGGAGTATTGCTAGAGGCTTGAGTTAGATATTCTTCTGCGAAAATGTCCACACCTTCAACATGATTCATGCTGCGCGCGGGCAAGCTAGCGTTATCAAAGTCGGCACTAACGGCTCCTTTCTGCAGAGTGAATAGGTCATCACTGAACTGCACCTTAAGCATAGTCGTCATATCAACACTGTAAATCGCGTTTAGATCGCGTTCATGAACGATCTCCCTCCTTCGCCTTCGGCCATACCCTAACTGATCGTTTCCGCAAGGGACGCCTTTGCATGCATTGATACAGATTGATACGGTCCCTGAGAACATAACGTAATTCGAGTCAGGGAACTTGAAAGCTTTAAATGTGGCACTTAGCGAATCACCATTATCGGGCGTGACAAAGTTGGAAAAGATGTAGGGATCGATTGAACAGCCATTCGTGATGATCAGCTCTTCCTGCTTGCCGGCACTATCCGATACCTTAAGAAAACTAGCGAGAATTCCATAGGTGGATTTACTTACGGGGTCAAGGAAGATGACCATTTCGAGGGGTGTCCCTGGCTGCACATTGTATGTTGTATCCAACATACGCCCGTTCTGTTTGATACCCAAATCCAAATTAGGGATCGGGGCTTGGGCCTCAATGTATTCGGTAATGTTGATGTAGTCCGGCTCGACGATATCTGGCCAATTGGGAAGGACCTGTCTCCTCGACCTACTTATTTTGTCTCCTATATGACATTGAATAAGCACTATTTCGTTCTTATCTTGGCCACTTTCGGGTTCGACGATTAATCGTTGAAAGTAAGTCTTTTCTCCCGTCATTTGATTGGTCATTCGGCTGACGCCACATCGAAATTCATCTTTTAGGTTGACCTCAAACTTCACCACGTTGTCCTCAATGATCGGTTTACACATCGGAAATCCTTTGAGATTCTCGAAATACACGTTCTTGATTTTAAAATCAACAGCAGACGTATCTACCGATACCTTAATACTATCCTCGTTGCACTCCGTTGTCGGCTTAATTTTAGCCTCAGCCTGTAGAGCCAGGCCTATAAAGAATGTGGCCAAAAACCACATCGTCCTAAGCAAATTTTAACAGCAAAAAAAAAAAAATAATAATAATCCTACTGCACAACGCTTTGCGCAGGACGATGTCCACTGCGGCCAGGCCTCTGCGTTGCTGTAAATCCTGTCTGACAGAACCACCAGCCTTTTCACGATGGAAAGTTTAGACTAAGTGAAACGACACCGTCGCAGCTCCAATGGCGTTACCAAGCGTATCCTGTCATACCATCATAGTAGAGTGTCGTCAAATTAGCTGCAATCACCAACATCAGCGACGGTGAGCGAGTTGTACGTCCTTCGCGCATAACACTAGTATGTCTTCTTCGTTGCTGCCAACACAGCTGCTATTCCGGTGCCGGCGTCTCCAGTGATGTTCACTCTGATCCGTCTTCGCTACTACTCCCTACGGTTGTTACGGCCTGCCATCTACGAGCTGCTACGAACTGCTTGCTATTGCCATCACAACGTATACAGCTGCAGCAGCAGCAGCACCAACGATCTTCTTCCATTTGCGCTCGTTCGCCGTGCCTCGCCTGACAGTCAGTATAAGTACAAGCACTTACCGTGGCTTCGTCAGCAGGACTTGCACGTGGGCTGCCATGCCGTAAGGGGAACGATTCTGGACTTCTGGTTGATGTTGTTGCTCTCATTTACAGACAGCGTCTGAGCGTTGCCATTGCAAATCCCAACTGCAGCACGCAATCGGAGCTGCGTATGAGAAGTGATGGCCAATCGCTCGGTAATCTAGTACAGTACATTGGCGTGCGGGTTCAGGTCCCGGTATAGCGATACTACTGAGAGTATAAAGGCGAAGTTAGCGAGCAATACGAAATGTGGGCCAACTGGGAACGGCGAAACAAACCGTTGCCGGTAACCGGATTATCTGGAGAAGCGCAAGCATCGAATCCAGCTTAATAGCTCCGTCTAGTTCTCAACAACGGCGAGCTCCCCAGCAGAGATTGTCCTTATAAAAAGTTTGATATTTGCACAAGTAACCTATTAGATTATAGCTACTAACTGCCTGTATTATCTAGTAATACATGTCATAATACCGCGTCAGGTCTTACGATAGTATGGTTGTTCCGACCACGTATAAACAATGTTAGTCAATATAAATACTATATTATTTGTTTATTGAAGATTATCTAACATCACTCGCATATCGCTATTGGATTCAAGTTCAGCGAAACTGCCATATCCTTGATAAATTCCGCCATGATCATTCTAAGCAATCAAACCCTGAAGATCTTAAACAACACGGTGCTAGTCTCATTGTCATAGATCATTGATCTTGAAAAACTATACCAAGACATCAATAATTTGTATATTAAAGACTCTCAAAGTGAATGTAAGGGATTTGTACAGAAGAAACAAAGGTGTTTACCTACTTAATTCGGTCCCTTCGATAAACCTAGATTGAAATTGCAAATGCCACGTACTACGCAAGATGTCTTTGTGCGAACGCAGGTTTATTAATTAGTTGTAGTGTAGCTTTCTTTTCCTGTATCTCTAGTGCACCATATAGTTTAGGCCAGTAAATGTAGTCTGTTTTTTTTTTTTTAAATAAAATGGAGTTAAGATTTGCTATTTTTCGGGTGTTGGTTATCATGCCAGTTCCAAACGTACCTTTAAAAGACATCTTTAAACTAAGATTCTTTCCGCAGCCGGGGCTAGTACCAACTAAGTATAGACTATTGTTAATCCAGTTAGAGAACTTCTTTGCAGGGCTATTGTGGGACGGCTAACGCTAGCTGCAATTCGAATAAAAGACTCATAGAAGATGAATTGGTGAACCGGTAGTTGAAGATCCGTAGGCTAATTAATGAGAAGGGGGAGGTCTTGCACTAAGCGACAAACGGGTTAATTGGGTAGGCTGCCTCGTTTACGGTTAAGTAGAACGCTGCCCACGTAAACGCACGACCACTGATTTGGTTCCAGGCCAACTAAAACCGGTTCGTTTCTTCGGATTCTTTGAACTTTTAATGATAGTTTGCTAGGCGATCACGTTTGTGCAATACGTACACGACTAAACTTTTTCTATTATATATTGAAACGGTCCTTGTTTTGTCGTAGGCAATATTGCCCATTGCGGAACATACTAGCATAGAAAGATTCCGACGTGATCAGAGAAAAATTATATATATAGATAGAAAAATATTCTGCATATCACATGAATGTTTTTTAGTCGTTTTAATCATTTTTGAAGATGACACAGCTCTTCGTCCTCAGCTTTTGCCCATTTTTCTATCCTGTCTTCATGCTAGTACATCGACAGCACTTTCACCTAATGTTACGAGATATCCATTGGCCCGATCCATCTGTTCAGCTGGCTGCAGTCTCGGGTGTCAAGCGATTCTCTTTGCACAGCCTACTCCGTCGATTATTTCAGTTAAGTACCGTCGTTCATAACCATAGTGATCCTACGTTTGGCAACGATGACGAGGTCGTAGATAGCGACGATGACGACGACAATAGAGACTACAGCCATGAAATAAAGTGGTTCAAGAGTAAAACATTCTCCGAAGCATTTCTCGGGAAAACTACCAACACTCTGCAGATCGTGATCTGCAAACTCACTTACACACTCGTTTGCATCCCCTCATGTACCCCTATGTTTCCATGTGCTTAGAGAAAGCGATCATCTCTTCCCCTCTCCCGCTGTTTCCTTTTCTTTTTCGAGCATCGAGTTTGTCCATCACATCGCTGTCGTCTGCTTCTTCTGTATTTAATACTTCAAGCTTAATGCCTTCGAGCACGTCGTGGCCCGCCCGCCAATCTTCCGTTCACAATGGTACAGGCCTCTGGAAAATGACAGCGGTAGGGCACTGCCCCGCCGAGCCACAGTCACTGCGAATCGTCGCAGTGCCGTTGCCCTTCAAAAATCTGCACCGTGACAGCGATTACGGTTGTAGGAATATTGTCAACCGAACTGAACACAAGGAACGAATGGTTGGCTAGCCGATAGTGCATCCACGAGGTTTCTACCCCCCCCCCCCCCCCCCATAGACGAGGAGCAAGCGGTGGCTTGATTGTGATACCCCACCCTAGTGATTCGTGCTGTTTTAGTTTTGCTGAGTCTCTTATAATAATAATAATAATAATGTGAGAACGAGCCCGCTCCCTTCTACTAGAAGCAGCGGTCTGCGAAATACTTAGAACAGAATACAGTTAGTTTAGCAGCACAGCTGCACATTGTTGAGGAATTGGTTTGGGTACAACAGTCTCTTCCCAGCTTCAACAGTTCCGTTCCCAACTCCGAATACATAGAGGCTTCGACACTTCCTTAGCGTAAAGGAGACACACGATTCAGAGGCACAATGCACGGTGCATGAGGTGGGAGTGTTTGTGCCTGCTTAGAAAAAGATCGGAGCTGGGGAAGTTGATCGGAAGGCGAATCCGTCGCTCTAGCCAGTGACTGCTTCTCGTTCCCTCTCAGCCGCTTCCTTCCCTTCGACCGGGGGCTTCACACATATATATGAATTGACATACATACATATATATACATGGTTTCGATATACATATATGCGTATATATGTATATGTATGGCTAAGCCGTGTACACAAATGTGGCCATAAACTCATGCTCTCTCTCGTCGCCTCAGCTGTCCTTTTGTCAGGCAGTGTTCTCGTAGCTTCTTTTTGGGTAGTCAGTCGACTCTGATCCCGAGCTGAAGATCCCCTTGTTCGCGGCTATGGCAACACAAACGATGCCCAGTTGAGACCTGGGTAGCAGCGAAAAGCAGTGAAGTCAAGTTGAGTCATACTTAAAGGAAAGGAATCAATGCTTGAGAAATCGTCAGAGAAAGAGGAGAAGCGCGACGACGGTGAGGGCGATAACGAAAAGTGGAACGGCCGTAGAACGAGTGCCTATAGCATGTCTAGTTGGACGGGGTGCGTGAAAAAGTGCCGCCGCCGCCGCTGTTGTGCGCAGGGCAAGGCAAGGCCGGGCCGGGCGAGGAAAGGCAACGCGAACAAATGGACAACGCCGGGGCAGAAGAAGAGGAGGCAAAACTAATTCAATTTATTCGCAAATCGAAACAGGGACGTACTGAGCGCTGTCTAGCGAGAGCATGCACGCATGAATTCAGCAGGGTTGCATCGTTCGAGTCTCGGTCGTACCGGTTAAGGATCCTCGTGGCAGCCGGCGCTCTGCAACTTGTCCTACAACGAATGCGACGCATCAGAACGACTCGGCCGGCGGCAGTACAGGCGGCAGCAGCAGTAAAAGAGCGAGCATTAGACGAAATCGCTAGGACAATAGACACGCTTGTCGCAAATAAGGGAGTACGAACATTCAGCGCACTCTTATTGTATACGAGCACAAGTAGTGTATGTGTAAGGGAGGGGGCAAATCCACAATTAAAACCCTAGATAGAAAAGCGACACCTAGTTAGTAAAAAATAAATATTCCTAAGGCGTTGCTGCGTCATGCGGAATATTCAGTTACTACTGATAACTACTATGATTACTGCAAACGCGTTTGGCTTATAATGATCAATTCTTTGCTGGCCGAGTATCGATAACTTCCTAAACTTCGATCGACCGAGTAGCTTGCATTCAAATTTATGGTACACGAGGTGCATATATTTGTTTTGCTTTTGTTGTACGTATTATATCTGAACAAATACAAAGTTCTTTTGCCACATGTCAAGCATAAGTTGCCAATCGAAACGTTCTATGCGACATTTTTCCTCTAGCCAAGTTTATATCGTTTGTTTTTAAAAATTTTTATGACTTAAGATTAGCGGAATTCGCGTTAGTTCTTAAATAAAATAGAAAAAATTGATCTTACGAAATAAATTATGAGAAAGAGAGTGTTTCATGTACACTTAACTAAAATACATCATGTAACCCACTGCAGGCGCACTTTTATGTTTACGTAATACATTAAAACCTACTGAATATGTTCTCGTAGAAGACTGAAGTCTCCATACTATATGTAGCCCAGTATGTAGGGGCAATTGTGTAAAATTTAGGTCGTCTCAAAAGAACAATTCATTTTAGCCAAGTAGAGCACTCTATAGTATTGAGCAGTTCGCTTTCAACCTATACCAGCCTAATTATTACACAAAAGTTTTTAAACATAAATTATTTTCTATTCCCTTTGTAACACCTAACCGTAAATAACTGTTAGCTTATGCACATACATTGATAGCTAGCTGCGTTTGATGTCGACTGAAGTCGGGTGCGTATACATGATTGTGGACGCAGCCTAGAACGATCCAAAAGCACTTTCCTATTTAGTCGCTTTCTTCCTGTACGTAACTTTCCTTATTATAGATCCAATATAATGCGTTTCGAGCCTGATAGTACACATGTAGCATACCAATGCATGCTGATACAGCCCATAAGACCTGTTGATATGTCCAGCTGTCTGAATGAGTTCTGTTCGTTTTTATCGATGGCCTGTTGGCCAGCTGCAACTTTACCTACA